AAAAATGCCAAGAAAGCTTTGTCATTTATGATTAGTATATATAGGAAATCAAATTGGCGAAAAATCTTTGGATTAGACTCTTTTGCGGCGTCACTCCTTTTATAAATTTTTGGCAAAAACACTAACTAGATTTGAGACATAAGTAGACAGTAAAGTTAATGCTCTTAATACATTTAAAAATAGGTTTTAATCTGTCCGGGATAATTTGGTTACAAAACCAGATTTAGTGTTTAATTACTTCACGGGGCACCAGGTCATATTCTATAGCTGTTTGTATATGTAAAATGTACTTAGTTTCTGACCATAAAGGTACAGAACATCTTTAGCATACCTCAGTAGTTTCTCTGTTTTCCCGTTCGTTGCAGCGACCATGTTACTGCCGTATCTGTCACTGATAATATTTCCAGTCAGCGTCACAAATGTACCTTGACGAGATAAAAAAAACAATGAAAGAGGTTTAACAAAAGCCAAAAAAGAACTCACTTTCACGTTTCAAAAGAAATTTTGGTAAATGAAATTTTAAATGTTCAAAATTGTTCTGTTTTGATTTCTTTATCATTTCAGGTTTTAATTATTCTTGTTCTCTAAAAACTCTTCATTAGCTTAATTACGAATTGCAGTAAGTCGATTGCAAATGTGTTTGTTTTTCGCGTGGAATCATGCCATGAGGCTTCTTTTGCGTCTATATCTATGTGGATGAGTATTCACTAAAACGAAGGTCAAGACAATTTAATTCTAATGTATGCCATATGAGCAGTGTCACGACAAAACCAACATAATGGGTTTGCGACCAGCATGGATCCAGACCAGCCTGCGCATCCGCGCAGTCTTATCAGGAACCATGCTGTTCGCTTACATTCTCTATAACAAGTAGAAAAACTGATAGCGAACAGCATGGATCCTGATCAGACTGCACGGATGCGCAGACTGGTCTGGATCCATGCTGGTCGCAAACCCATTATGTTGGTTTTGTCGTGACGCGGCTCAAATGTAGTTTAACGTCATGTCATGAGAAGCCAACCAAAGATTAATACTTTACAAGTTTACATGTGTTTCAGGCATCAAACAAGGTAATATTGTCATTAAGTTGAGACTCTCATAATATCGTTCCAAACGAAATGTTCATCTTACTTATCAAAGTGTATGCTCTCATTTGCAGGTTTTTTTTCGCTTGTTTTTTTTTTTACAATCATTTTAGGAAAAATAAGATAGTTCATACCAGGTTTTCCAGATTGTGTCGACATTTCTTCAATGGTAGGTGTGTTTCTGGCCCTTGGCTAAAAATACAAAATAAAATAGAAATACATTATAATGACTTAAATCGTACAAAATGCAGATGATACACTTTGTATGAGTTTACGGGTCTTATATGACTTTATTTAAAGTGTATGAATCTGTACTTCTGCTGCAAAAATTGTTTGAATTAAAAAAAAAGAATGTTCCCAAAATGCTTATGTGAATTAAAGATGGTAGTACATTGCCTTGCGAATGACACATGCGTACGAAATCATTGTTCATCGGTTAAAGCCCTACTTTAGATAGCAGCATTACATTTTGTTCCGGAATAGTTTATTCTGTTAACATACATACTTCAAGTGTAGTTGAATATTTTATAACAGAGATATGTTGTCTATGTTACAACTTAGAATCTTCCGTAAGATTATGGAAACAATATAATCTAACAGTCTATAATTTTGTTAAAATATTTCATAAGATATAGCTTAATACCCTTTAAATATGATTAATATTTTTTCTTGAGAATAGTTGCTAATCAGTAAATTTTGAATCAGAATATGGTTAATGATATCAACATTAAACCATCAGTTAAACTGATTCACTGCAATCGTTAACAAGGGTATAACCCTATTATTTTTGCAGTTCAAAATTGATTTAGCCCCCCTTTATCACTACCATTAAGTCCTTTGTCTGTAATCATTACACTTGATTTGTTTGTTTTCTAATTAAAAATAAAAGCAATATGGATTCTAAAGTTTCAACTATCACGCCATTCTTTTGTGTTGTCCGCATTGTATTTTCATTAAGTTATAGGAACTAGAATCTGCCCAATGTATAAGTGCTGATCCAAAATTAATAGTCAGGAAATGAAAGAAAGGACGAATTTTACTTTGTTTTTTTATTATTTCTGTTTGTATTCAATTCAGAAAAGCCGATAGAAGATTTCAAACAAAATAAGAGGTAAAAACACAAATTTTGATAATTTATTAAGTAACGTACAATAAAATTCCACAAGAATTTGCAGCTAAATGAGTCCGTCGCGTTCTGTCAGACTTATAAAATCTTTTGTCGCTTCATCTTATTATTATTGAATTCAAATTTATGTGTTGTCGTCGGCTATATTAAGACGACACAAATCGGTCTTATATCATATGGTGAACATAACCACAACAAAACAGGCATCCTTAACATTATAAAGTTATTTAAAGTATTTAACATTATTTATTCTTTTATACCGTCATCTTACGGGGAATTTTCTATGAACGTTTTTTATATTGAACTTTTGCCCTACGCAGTTTGCACATGCGCGGAGAAAATGTCATTCGGTCAGTTTTGCATAACAACGGGCCCCGCCGTTTAAAGATCTTTAACTCGTTTAAAGATCTTTAACTGCTCTAAATGTCAACAACAACAACAACAGCAAAAACCCAAAACAAAGAGCAAAAATGGTTAAGCTTTTTCTGAAAAAACGTTTTAGAACCTATAACAAGTCACCAAAATCAAAAGCTCGTAAGGGACAATTATTTTTTGAGTTATTTATTCTCATACGTTTTGGTTGATAAGCGGATTTTATAAAAGTTGATATTTTTTCACAAAGACATACATGTAGTACTATACCTTGTATGTGCATTTAGAGCCTTTCGGGTTCCCGTTACAAAGATCCGCATCTTCAACCACTATACCGTCAACTTTAACTTTCACATAGTGATCCTCTTCCAACATACCTCTGTTAATATGAAATGTTAAAATGAGTAAATATACATTAAAAGAAAATTTCTATTTCAGAATTTCAAAATATTTTACCCAAAGATGAACTTTGTATATCTTTAAGTTACTAAGAAAACAAAATACCAGACACTCAATCTCATTGTAATCTCCGGAACAGAAACAACACGATGCTTTTTAAAATTTATTACTTATGCAAATCCTTTATACTCTTGAACAAGGCCTAAGATTAGTGGTATCTGGAACGCTTCTTCGTAAGTTAAATTTTGAAAAAGGCAACATGATAATAAGTAACATTTTTAATTATCCACGGTTTTATTTGAAATCAAAGCCGTGGATTATTGTAACCATGTCAAAAACCAACTAGTATAACAAAGCAACATAATTGCATTTAATCTGCATCAAGCGTGAGCAGATCGTGCGTGCATTAAACGATTGCAAGTTGCGCAACAGCACCACAACTTTTATTTCGAATTTAATTAGCGCACGTGTCTTTTTTATTTATTTTTTAATATTCCGTTTCTACTTATTTTTTGAATATTTTATTAACGTTAAAAGAATTTATTGGATGGAAACTTGCATTTCTGATTAAATACTTATGGTCTTGAGTTTATAAAAAAACATCTGAGTTCTTTTTCAAATATCAGGATTTTCATTGGTACTAATTTCTAACCAATCAAATCTGACATCTTAGAAGTTGGTCAAATTCTTAATAACCTTGAATCCTGTTGTTTATATTTGAACATTCAACAATCGGACCGGACATGGAGAAAAATGCATTTCGAAAAGGAAGGTTTTATGAAGTCATGCCTTAATAAGAACTTGCATGTGCGACAACAGACATATTTTGATGGAAATAAGACATACTTTGGGGTGTAACACATGATTTGAGTTTCTGTGCAACCATCCTTATGAACTGCACACGAGTACTCGGCATCAGATTCACTAACCAAGAAAACTTTGTTACCGACATTGGGATCGTCATTCTGACTAAACTGGTCCGCAGAGAATCCTACAAAAAACAAAGAATAACATATCTTACAATCTTTCTATTTGAATAATCGATACAAAATTGCACTTTGTGATATTTATACTCTATTCTATTTTAATAACGTAACATTTATCTGTCAGTTACATTAAGTATGCAAATTACTTATGTACCAGTTGTAAGACTTAACCATCCACGACCTTTGACCTTTGGGTTTTCCGATCCCTTGTTATACCGGAATACAAACCCTCCTAGACAGCAAAATGGCAATACTACAATTGTGCTAAATGTACAGGGACTCTTGAATTGAACATATCCTCGAAACCACGATATTTCCAGTGCGCGGACAGACCGGATATAAAATCATTTCCACTACGCCGTTGGGTATGAAAGCCTATAGGTTGCAATTCACTCGTACTGTATTAACTTTGAAGTTGCTTGTTGTTTTTTTTTTTCAATAAACACCGGTTCATTCTATGATTAATTGATACAAATAAGTCCAATAAAATAAGCCAATATGACCATTCAAATTGCCAACTGTCCTTTAAATGACTTTTAATAAAATCAATATGTCCGCTGCTATTTTGTATATAATTTGACTGAAACGAATTTTAATAGTTTTGAAATTCTGAATACAAATGATTTTTATAAATATAATTGAATTGTTTAATTTAAACAAGCCTCTTTCAATTATTTGAGAGACACTGTTTGAAATAAACTTTAAAGAAAGGGTCAATTAATCATCGCACATGTACGCTAAAATAGTCATTTAATGCATTATTTACTCACCAGAACCCAAAATTGTCAGCCTCGTTTCACCTGCCAAACTGCCATATTTAGGCTCTAAATCAGTCACGCGTGCACCTGCAGATTAAAGAATATTATAGTGATTTTATTGAGTTTACTTGCGCTGAATTGAAATGTTGAAATTAAGTGTCATAGTTAATTTCGTATTGAAAAACTGTATCCCATTTCTTAAAATGAACGGAAATATTCTCGTATTCCCCTGGCTTTTCTTTTTGTAAAACGCAACTGATTTTTCGGGAATGCAGGGAAGCTTTCAAGGTTGATATGACCAAAATAATATATTAAAATCTCGGCCCGTAAAAATTCAGGAGAAACAAATAAACAAATCTTTTTCACATTTGTATTTTTTTTAAAAAGAGGGTTTTTTGGTTTGTTTTATTTATATTTAAAAATTTGGGTTTATGCAGGGGGGGACTTATCTTGGAAATAACTTTTTTTTTGGTATAATTGGAAAATTTATGAATTTCTTTAAATATTATAATATTTTTTGTTTATAGGAAAATTTGTTTATACATGTTATACTAATTTATATAAATATCATCTTTTCAGAGCCGATGGTGAATGGCCTTTAATGTATTTAAAAAAAAGTAACCGACCAATTGGGCTATATTATATATTTCCTTTTTTTTAAATTTATATATATTATTTTAAAAATTCCGAAATATTTCATTCATAATTTAGGTATAATAAAATCAATGCATGCATTATCATATTATGCTTTTGTAACCTATAATCACTACTTTTAATCCTCTTACGATTGGCAAGTCTTAAGTGAGATTGTGTTCTAATCTTATAAAACAGCCGTCATTGATATTACTTTTGTTAAACCTTTCAAGTAGCCCATGCACTTCAGGTGTGCAATTCCTTTCAAACTTTCAACGCATGCGTAATGACTATACAGAGAATAAAAATGGCGCCAAATATGTGATATTCAAGTACAAAATTTGAAAAATCTTATCGTTTATATTCTGTAAACTTTTAGATATATTGTATATGCTTTTGGCAGAGTTATGATAATAATATTAGTAAACTTTCTTAAGCATGAATTACAAGTGTAAATATTTTCATAAAAGAATTAAAATGTACACTTTAAAAGAACCCCAATATTTACTGAATGCTTACGTCAAGATCAAAGATAAAACGCTGATACACAAAAAAGTTTTTATAACATGTAAGGTATAATCGCCTTAAAATGATTTTTGTTTTTAAAATACAAAAGCAAACATTATTCTTCTGTTGAACTTAAAGAATTATATCTTTAGTAAATAATTTGAAAGTAAAAGTAAACGAAATATTTTGATTAGATAAGAGTTTCAAACTTCTGCTGGGGTCATGAAAGAATTTTTTAACATTTTAGCAGCTGTTGGAAAAAGATTAATAATCAATTTTGTAATTTGTCATTTGTTTGAGATACATGTCGACCTTTTGGAGAAAAAAATTAAAACGGTCAAAGAATACATTTTAAAAACCATTTTTCAATGGTATAAAAGGTTTCATCGCGAGTAAGTTTAATCAAATATAGTTTTAAGCTTAGATGTTGTTTGAACAAGTATATATATGTGTACTGAATAGAGCGAATAATTAACACTACAATAGGTTCCTCAGGCTAAGATTAATTTATGAGGCAATTAACACAGTACTTTAATATTTTCCAGCATTCAGAAATTATTGCGGGGTATATGCACCCAGGAACATTCGTTTGTCTAACAATGCAGTTTGTTTCCATCGCCAACATTTTCTTACAGCATTTGTTACAATTATTAGAAAGAAAATAATGCTTATAATATCATAACATGAATTGATACAATTTCTTAGGTTATTTCAATCAGGGTCTTTTAAATGGACAATGCATAAAATTTAAAAGAAAGCTTATAAAACTCGGACCTATTTTCAAATTTTTTATGAACAGTACATTTTTACATTGACACCGGGAACGAACAATTTCTAATTTTATTGTTACTGACGTTTTTAAAGTATAAACTAATAACGTTATGTAGCCATGTTTAGTTTACAGTTATTTTTTTATCAATTTAACAAACTATCTTTTAATTTGATTTTTGAATGTTGATGTACTCTGCCAGATCACAGATGGTAAATAACCTAACCACGTGATTCAACCGAGACATCTTTTTTTTCGTAAAATTGGTCCGACTCCAGATCGACCATTCTATTTGAAAGACCATGTTTCAAAAGTATATTTATTTCACTTAAATTAAAAAGATCTTGCACTAAAGGGAGTTTTCTGCTCGACGTAACAGAAAGTGCTTTAGTACAAAAAGGAAAGATAAGTTTAGTTATTGGAATTCGACTGACAGTGAAAAAATGTATTAAAAAATTTCAAAAAAACAGGGATAGCAACAGTTTTAATTTAAATATGCAATATTTCTTTGTTTTTTGGGGCCCTTTAGAAATAAAACCCAAAACGACCTTCCGTATTTGGGTTGGGGTATACTTTATTTTTATACAGAAATAAAAAATTTATCTTTATTTTAACAAAAATTACAGACATACTTTTACAATGAAAACTTTTTTATGACAATTTTTAAATTTTTTAAAACTTTTTTAAATTTTAAAGACGGGTTCTGGATTTAAAAAATTCTATTACAAACAAATTTAAATAGATCTCTTTATCTGTGATAAAAAATCTGGTTATCTTGAAATCTTGAAAATTTTCCGACGAACTTTGTAAAAAAAAACTAAAGAAAAGTGAATTGATACTGAACAAAAGTTGAGCTTTTAGAATAATTCGACTTGATTTTACATGCCTACGTAATTTTAAAGGTAGAAATTTCAATAAAATTCCCACGTTTAAATTATGCTTTATATTCAATTCAATACAATTTTGTATTGTGTCACGCGACTTGCTGACGTTGCTGTACATATCGGAAAGACCCTGTAAGCGTAATTTGAAAGTCAATTACTAAAATTCACGCTTGCACAGATTATTATCAAAATAAACTATTCTCAAATGATGGTTAATGATTCAGATTCCATTGAATTGTTAATGAAGTTGTTGGATACTGATATAATGCATTCTTTCTTTGTGCATGTGCAAATACTACTTCCGTTTCTATGGAAATGTCGTATTGTAAAAGGTCTACATATGATAAGCTAACATGGGAATTTGGTCTGCTGGATTTTAAACAACTTCTTATAAGCATAAAATACGTACTGCAAAGTACAGGTAAATAAACAGAGAGATGAAGTTTCAGCAAAAAAATTGTATATTCTGTTTTTGAAAAACATATATACCACCTATTCAAATATGCACTGAACATAACACTCTAAATTTGATAAAAATAGTTGCGTAAAAAATGAAATATTTTTCTCGCAATTTATTACTTAAAATTGTTTTATCTGCACTTAGTTTATAGATAAAACGGTAATTACGTGTTCCAGAAAAAAATATTTCTGGTTGACTTTTTCAAGTTGTACAGTTGGTAAGTACATGCGAGTAAAAGAAACATATGTGAAAAGAGAGTTATGTTTTGCAACTTAAAACTGTGTGTTTTTAATTGCGATTTTATTTAATTTATAAATATGTATGTTTAAATTTGAAAGTTTGTGCATAGGTTTCTCTGTCTTTTATTTGAGAAATTACTTAATTCTCAGTAAATTTAAAGGACAGAGAATACTTTGTGATGCTATAATCATATACAGAAATATGACGAAATATGAAATAGCGTTTGTTTTGATATTATTTTGACTTCATTTAAATTCGAAATCTTATTTTTTCATATATATTCTAAAAGTCAATGTGTTGTTTAAACCTGCCTAGATATCGTGAATACATGTACTTGACAAGAAAGAAGGAACATCTGCCTGAACAGTTTTCTTAAACAAATTAAAACCGCGCATTATGAAATTTGACTTCTTATATTTCCGCCGGAACTTTTCGAGTAAGGATCATCATTTCTTTAGTTTTTCTTTCTTTCGTGCAAGTAAGTAAAATGTCACAACATCGTACATTTATATAAAGTTAATCTAAGTTTAGATTATGATTATTCAGTGTATACATTTTTTTTTATAATTCTGGGTGTTTTTCAAAAAAAAATAAAAGATAAATAAATAAAAAATAATTACTATTATTAAAAAATAAAATACAACAAAAAACAACAATTTTCTATAAAACATTTTGATTAGAGCCATCACCGGATAAACGAATTATATAAAAAAGTTTTGATTTTGAATTAAAATTTCATATATAAATATATATATATTGTATGTTAGACAGATTTATTACATTCTCCTTTTCGACTGGGCTTTCCAAATTTGAATTTATGTAATATAATGGAACAAATTGATATCATTATTTTTGCATTGTAACATACATGTACATGCGTCGTCATCTTGATTAAATAAGTTACCTCCCTTAGATTTTTTTCCGAAACTAAAAAATACAGTTATATCAACAAATATTCACATTTGTTATTTGTAAAGATTTCGATTTCGCATTTAACAATCTATAACAGTATTGAAAATGTCATTCAAATGCTCAAAGAACTATCGTATGCTTTCGTATGAATATCTTTAACATTTAAGGTTTGCATTTAATGCATGCCAATAAGCTTCTTTACTTCATTGTGTAATTCAAACGTTGTAAGTTATGGCCTTAAATGGACAAACCCGTTTTCTTTGGCAAGTGCCCATATCTGTTAAAAACTGCAACCTCCAAAATGACCAAAAAATTTCAAAGGAAAAAATATTGGTAAAAAAGTACTAAAAAGTTAAGAAAGGGAAAAAATTCAAAAACCCAAATTTTAATTTACATGTTTTTTGTTTGGTTTTTAAACCCAATTATTTTCAGATTTTATTTTCCCAATTTTTTTAAAGGGGTTTCTAACGAAGAAAGGGCCCGTTTTTGCATATTTTGACGCTTTTTTTTGGGGAATTTTCGTGGATTTTTAGGCGCCCATTTCCCAATTTTGTTAAAAGAATCTGGTGGCGTGCTACTTTAACATCTGTTTGTTGTTCAATATGTTATTTTGAGCCATATCTTGTTTTTTTTGCTTCTTTTCTTTTCTTTTGTAAAAATATGACGTATTGTTTTCTTTAATGATTAATTTTTCAATCACTGTGTTATGTAATATGTATATCATTGGAAATTCGTAGGCAATAAAGGTGTACATTTGTATATGAATGACAAAGATTAAAATAATTTAAGTCAGTTTGACACAATGACCGTTTTGTTATATTACGTGATATCTTGTAAAATTTGACAAGTATTTGTTGTTGACAAATTTATGTATGACAACGTTATCAAATTTTATTCGATATCAGTTTTTTCGATTCACAAAGCGCGTACATTAAAAGCAATATGGTATTTGTATGGTTATATAAAATATTTGAGCCGCGTCACGACAAAACCAACATAATGGGTTTACGATCAGCATGGATCCAGACCAGCCTGCGCATCCGCGCAATCTGATCAGGATCCATGCTGTTCGCTATCAGTTTCTCTTCTTGTTATAGGGTTTGTAAGCGAACAGCATGAATCCTGATCAGACTGCGTGGATGCGCAGGCTGGTCTGGATCCATGCTGGTCGCAAACGCATTATGTTGGTTTTGTCGTGACGCGGCTCAATTTCTTTTCTTAATGCATAGACAAACTAAAACCTTTGTTCAAGTTTTAAGAAGATTACTTATACTTTTTGTAGCCGCTTAAAATTGAAAACAATCTGATTTTATACGTAAAATATGTATACACAACAATGTGTTTTGTTTTGTCTGTTATTTAGGTGTACAGTTGTTTTTTGTTTGTTTTTATTTGTGCAAAATTTGCATTTTTTAATGTCAATGAACAACGTTATTTGTTGAATTTAGATATTTTATAATTTTGCCTTTTCAAACTTTGAATTTTTAGTCGTAACTTTAAGTACATACATCAGTCATTCTTATTTTAGGACTTCAGGTTAAATGATTATTATATAATAAGGATTTTTATATATTTATATTTAACATGTGCAGTCAAAACTGCAAGTTTTTTTTTGTTATTTTGCAAAATATAGGAAATGATAAAAACTTAACAACTGATCTTTGAGATAACTAAAGAATGTTGATAATGAAATACCAGGATATGCAACAAAAATTTGTAGACAAAAATTAACATGAATTAAGATAATAACAAATAAAGATGATGAAAATATTAGTAATATTATATAATAATAATAATAATAATATTGATATAATAATAATAATGATAATAATAATAATAATAATAATAATAAAATTATTAATAAATAATAATAAGATGATGAAGAAGAAGAAGAAAAAGAAAAAGAAGTACAAGAAGAAAAAATGTGAAGACAAATAACTTAAATGACAAAATAAAACAACAACTTAAACAACAACAACAATGGTGATCTTTACAAATATGATAATAATATAAAATTCATACCTCCAATGCCATGTGTGATAACTATGAAGCAGACGACATATTCCGAAAATCGTCTGTAAAGTTCCTTCGTCCGAAATTTCATTGCTGTCCAGTCAATAAATGAAGCATTGTCCCGGGTTGACTAGCATTTTATAAGTTCATTCAATTGTCCACTGTTTTGTAAGACCAATCAATAACGTTTCATAACATGTGACCAGAGAAAAACAGTGATCAATTTTAAATCAATTTCTTGTAATCGATGTCAACAGAAGTTTATATGTATCCATTTTTAACAATATTTTCACGGTTAATAATGGGATTATTCTATTATGACGCATGTAAATCTTACAATGTTAAGTCGTTTTTTTTAATTCACTTTAAATGCAAATGCACTTTGGTTTATTGACTGTGGCCTAATAAAGCTTACATTAAAACAAGGATGATAGACATATTAAAATCTGTTTAACGGCCGTAAATTAATTAATTCATTTGATTTAGAATATGGTTATTTTTAATATTTAAGGTTGTGGGTTTTTTTTTACATTTTATTAGCAACTATATGGTTCAACTCATTCTTATTAAAAAAAATCTTTAGCGTCATTTTATTTTAGATTTAATGTTATTAAGTTCTTTTCCCGAGCGAGACTTTTCGGTCTATATTAAGAAAAAAATATGTAATTATGTTTATAAATATTTAATAAGTTGTAAGCTCATCACGTGGCACTAATTATTTATTATAACACAACTACACAAAGGTCACGCAATTCCTGTATAATGAATTATGCAATATGGTAGATTAAAACAATTCCATGAACATTGCTGACGATATGAAAACAAATAAAAGCACTTGTCCTAAACAGGTTGAATTTCGGAAGTTGAAACGCTTAAAAGGATGCGCACGCAACGACCTTGCCACAATATTTCACTACCACACAGATGAATAATGTTTAGTGACATTTAATTAATTAAATATTAAGTTTTCAGTGTGCGTTTAAATTTTCTTGTTTATCTTCACGTTTACAACCCTTCATTGTTGTAATTTTTTATAATTCTATAATAATTATTCTGATACGCACCTATATAGACAAAATTAAATTTAACATTTAATTTTTACAATCATAAGACATTTAAAAACATATGTTAACAATTTTCATTATCAGATTTCTTATGTCAGAATAAGTTTTTAACGTTTTACTGAAGTGTTTATAATTTGAAAGATGTTATATGATGTTGTTATTGTATGCTTAACAAGCATCAATAAACTCTTGAAGTCTGCCAAGATGTGCCTACATGTCCACAGTATTGTTATAATATCTATACAATGAATATCAAACATGAACTGTACATTACGGGAATAAAATAGCTAGAACACTAATAACCATATTGGACCATTCAAACCATTTCTTATGATGTACAAATAATGTATAAAATTTATTCGATATCCTAATTAAGTATACGAGAAAGAAATTAAAGGTCATTTGCACTCCTTAAAGACATTTCATTTTAATACTTAGGCAAAGCAGGAAAAAGAGACTAGTAAACATAATTTACATAATTTTCTTTACCTTTGTAGGAGTAAAGAAAATTATAATTGAACCATAAAAAATAGTGATCTCATTCCTTCTTAAAATGTATTTACTAAATTGTCCATAAAAGTAAATTATCTACTCTTATATAGGTCATTTCCAAGAGCACATAACTAAAAAGTGTGGGAAGTAGCATTAATACGATTTTAAATCCGTTTTTGATACTGTATTTCTTCTCATAGTTCAATTTTTGCTGAAACACGTATAACAGATTCAATTCCAAAACTATTTAATTGAAATTATAGAACTTTTCTTCAAACTAATCCCCTTTTACAAGAATATTGGACCAGGCTTAATGTTAATGCATAGCGAAATTTTTGTTGAACAAAATTTTAACTCTGCATAATCACTAAAGATATTAAATCAAACAAAATTATTTGTTACAAAGCAAGTATCGTTTTGCTTAATTTTGAACATTAGTCCGATCTTGGAAATGACCTAAAAGAGACAAATAATCAGATATTTCGATTATATCCAGTTGAATAGCCAAATGTTGACCACCAGTTTATCTTTCATAATGCAAAGTTAAAAAAAAAATATTTTCTTTAGTTGGACTTTGCCAATAGCTTTAAAAATTAGAAACTATAGGAAATGTCTTAAAAATACGCTGGCCAATTTAGGATGCTTTCGAAGGCTATGATAAAGTACTACAGATACACAACGGTCTGCTACCGTATAAGTACGGATTAGTTCGAATAAGTACGGTCTGATACGGTCTGATACGGAGAAGAACGAATTGATACGGAGAAGACGAATTGCCACTGATCTATACGGACCTATCATATCCGCCCACAACCTCTTGCATGCTATTTTTCAAAATGCCTTTCAAGAAAAGAACACATAGAAAACGAATTACAGAGTTACATGTATATGATTCTGGTGGAGAGGATTCGGCCTCATCGCGTCCGACCACCGAGACATATCAGGTCCGATTAAAGTGAATATCTTGAAGGACCGGATCCTCAACAAGTTCGGCCAAGAGAGCCTCATACTAAACATGAAGGGGTCTTCGTGAAAGCCCATCTCTTGTCCACCATCTCGTCTGTCTTCTCTTACCTGATTAAATATGTACTTGTAATCAGAGCTGAATTACTGGTACTGCAATACGTACTGCAGCGATTTTGCAAGTACTGGTACTGATACTGAATTACTCCTACTACTGGTACTGGTACTGCATTACTGTCTTAAAAAGTAGTACTGCTACTGCATTACTAGGCAGTACTTTTGGTTTTGATAAAAATAGCATCAATTTTTCTCATAAAATAAACCTGTAAATAACATCATTATATGTTTGTGAAAAAGTAAGTTATCAAATCTATAGATAATTTGCTGCAATATTCCTTCAAATGTTAACATAGTATTCATCATAAAAGCACCAAAGACTTTAATCAAAAATTAAATTGAGATAAACAGACTCAATAACTCTTTAACCTAAAATATCCTTATTAAAATCTTTTATTACTTTGTATTTACCAGTAAAAGAGCAAAATAATCACTAATTAATTGCTTCTATTCTAAATAATCCTAAATGAAAGATTACAGTTGACTGGTTACTAAACAACAAGATATGACATGAATATATGTTGTAAATATCGTTTGTAAAAAGTATGTTAAAACTATAAAGTTGTAAATGTAAAGTTGTAAAAATGTTATGTTAACTTTAAAGCAAATTATGATTTTATTTCTTTGCTGAATAATATTTGCAATTATTTGTTTGACACTGTGTACTAGTATTTATTCAAACTTTGATGAAAATATAAAAGTAATGGTACTGATACTTAATTACTTCACCAAAAAAAGTACTGGTACTGCAGTACCGAGCTAAAATCTAGTACTGGTACTGGTAATGGTACTGCATAATTTGCCAAGTATTGGTACTGGTACTTAAGTACTACACCCTTAGTACTGATGCAGCTCTGCTTGTAATCATTGATGAAAAATGTTGATCAATACTGCTTCTCTTTTGATTTTAAAATTTGTTGTTCATTTTACAATTACATTAATTATCATGACTGTTTTATGCTTTAAAAATATGTGAAAAGCTTGTTAATTAATCTATTGTCACTCAAGGGCCAGCGTCCGAGGCTCATGAGACACTTCGTGTTATGTACATATTTACTCCAATTTCACGATCCAATGTTTGTGAGATATGTAACATTAAATGTTATTCTATTAGTTATGAATTGTAGTACGATATATATATATATATTTGTTTTCCTCTATGCATTCCATCAAGCAGCTCTACCACTGCCTCCGCATTCTGAGCCATTTCAATATAAAGTTGCAGCAAGTAAATGGAAATTATCATTTATTGAATGTTCACGCAAATATGTCTGTTAATTTTAACAAGAAGGTAGTAGTATTTATACCCTTGAAAAAGTACATGATACTTAATTTGTCCCTACTAAACAGTGGTGGACCGTACCATTCCGTACCGTTTCGTGCTGCAACGCAATAAACCGTATAAAACCGTGCTAATCCCTGCCTCTCCGTAGTACAACGTAGTATTACGATCGTGGCTTTCCGTATTACGATCGCGGCTTTCCGTGACAATACCGTATTTATCCGTATTAAAACCGTAGCTTATACGTAGGATAACCTTACAAATACGTAGTTCTCCGTACCAAACTGTGGAAATCCTTGACAATGTGGGGCCTACGAATCAGTACGGACTAGTACGGTTTTCGTACGGTTTTCGTACGGACCACTACGTATCAGTACGGTTTAATACGGACTAGTAGGGATACGCTACGGTTGATTTTTCCGTAGCAAATTTTTGTGCATGTTCAAAAATTGTCAAGGATCGCTACGGATATACAAGGACTAAGTACTACGATTGATTACGGTTACAATACGGAGAGCTACTGACCAGTTCGGGTAGCTACGGACGATGCCGGAATTAATCCGTGCCTCTTCCGTGGGCATATTCCGTGAATATGTGACCGGGGTATTATTCATTTATTGCATAACTTAAAATTAGTTATATTAGATGTAATAAGACTGTGGTAAATATAATTGTATAATTTATTAAGATTTTAATATGATCTGTAACATCTGTTCGTTGACAAATTGCTCACATTCAGAGTGAATAAACGCCGTTTGTATAATGCAAATGACGTCACAGCCATGCAATATACTGTAGCCCTTGCCAAAATGGCAACGGCTCGGAGATAATAACACAGTATATAAACGATTTGAACCCCAACCGGATCTTGTGAGAAGATTTCAGCATCTAAACGTACAATCAGACGTAATGACACATTAAACTATTAAAAATCGGCTTGAATTAAATATGTTACGGTAGGTTAACATTTGAATCATATTAAGAAATAATTTATCTTTGCTAAAATATACATCCATAACCTTCTTCGTAAAATATATGCGCATAAAACGTTGTGCTCATCGCCTCATATTCTGTTTATGTCAACACACGCCGATTACACAAGCAAATGTATGCCTAAAATTGTTTTATTTCACTATAACTCATATCTGAATCTTAACTTTATTGTCTTAACCTCATGTTACCGGACAGACACTTGTGAAAATATCTTTGAATATTGATAAAACATAGTAAATAATAGAGGCGACATTTCTGATAACTGTACCCGTCTTGCTAAAACAATTTTAATGATCTGTACCCTACTTGTGTTTTCACTGAACCATTACTTGCGAGTCACTTTTGCTGATTTTTATTGGTTTTTGTCGTATATTCCAAATGTAAAGTTATTGTGTCACAAGAGAAGGGTACATGTTTTAGTTCTATGTACGTAAGTAACTAAAACTGCATATGAATGGAGGAGTTTCGTCATGTTTTCACTGTCTACGAAAGTGGCTGTTTATACGAATCA